GATTTCTCTCCCCTGTTCTTAATCGCCCCAAACCTTCTCTTCTCATGTGGCTGTACTTTAAGGCAGTGAGCTGTTTGATTTTGGGGGAAGAACGGAAATCAGTCAAGTTGTCTCCAAACTGGCAGCTTTACAAACCACCAAGTGGGCAGTGACAGAAAACTGTCTTAGTGAAATCCTGGGGACGTGCATGGATATGTGGTGAAAACCCACTCTTTTGCCACAAGCAAGGCTATGTAGCAAGGCACGACTGTCGAGGCTTCTAAAAGAGTCAAGGAAAGCAGCTCCTCTTTTGCCACGCAGAGGTTTTCTTCTCCCAAATGCATATTTGCCTTTTGAACAACTCACCCATTAATCTCTAGCACTTTCCCCACCAAATCCACAGGCCTAAGCTGAACAACCCCAAAGAAGTGGGGTAGGGTGGGGAGAGAGCCTCGCTGTGTGACTCCTTGCGACACACTCCTTATTTTAACACACAGTATGTACGAGTCACTTCCCAAGCAAACAGGCCATCTTGGAAAGGGACAGTGTTAACAGCACGGGATTCCGTTTTGTGAAAAATGCATCCAACAGCACCCACGAGAAAAAGGGCATGTGGAGGGTTCATTTTGTAGGACTGCTCTTTTGCACAAAAAGCAGCTCCCTCAGACAAGCAGTGAACAAAGTCCTTTGAGCGATGCAGTTTCCACGTAAACCAGGTCACAATGTGAAGCAGTTAACAGGAGCAGCAGCTGAAGTGCTGTTTCAAAGTAGGACTGGGATATTTCCCCCCTCACCCAAGGTTTACATGAGAGAGAGCAAGAGGGAAGAGGAAAAAAGCAACACTCAGTGTTCCCCTTCTTCCTCCTCCCTCCTCCCTCCCCCAGATGCCTACCCTCCCCTCTCCCTGACAAAACCAAGTGGCCGTGATTGTGAAAGTAGAGCTGGAGGGGAAACCTCTGGAGTCCAGTGGACAGGCTCAAATGCAGAGAAATGGATTTGGTTGGAGCTGCAATTCTGGAGGCTGGCAGAGACATTCACAGCCCCTCCCCCTGGCCCATCCCTCCTGTCCACTGTGCTCTAGCTGTCTTCACCGTTCTCGCCTGGTCCTTTGATAAGTCGCTTCTGTCCTCGTTTTCCCACGGGCCCCTTGGGCTTGGCGAAGGCCTGTTTGAAGGCATGCTGCTTAGGATGAACCTCCTCATACAGGAACTCTGCAGTCAGCTCAGCTCCGTCGTCAATTTCAATCTGGTGCAGGGAGAAAAGGGATCACAGTCCTCAGTACTGGCTGCCCTGAGGCTCAACCAACATCCTCCCCATGGCAGCATGCGCTGGTCCTTGCGCCACCCTTCCCGGCTGCTTCCCGTCCCATCAAATCCTCGTGTGTGTCTGAGCATTTCAGTTCCCATCGGTGACAAGGAGTAACTCATTATGATCTACACGCTCTTACTTGAGCTCCAGACTGTTCAAGGAATTCTGAAATTACTCCTGGGCTATGACTGCACATCAATGGATATTGTACTACCATTGCACTATAGCAATTATTTGCAACTGGAATGTCCACACAGCAAAATCCAGTGTGCATGACTGCTGCAGTGTAACAATGGTGCAAAATGCAGATACATCCTTGGTTGTGACCCAGTCCTTTTGGGGCACTGCTCTTGCCTCAAACAACGCAGACAGCCATTATGAAGAAGAAGAAGAAGAAGAAGAAGAAGAAGAAGAAGAAGAGATTGGATTTATACCCCGCCCTTCACTTGGAGTCTCAGAGCGGCCTACAAACTCCTTTCCCTTCCCCTCCCCACAACAGGCACCCTTGGAGGTGGGTGGGGCTGAGAAAACTCTGACAGAAACTGCTCTTTTTCAAGGACAGCTCTGACAGAGCTTGTGACTGACCCAAGGTCACATCAGCAGGTGCAAGTGGAGGAGTGGGGAATCAAACCCGGTTCTCCCAGATTAGAGTTCGCACACTTAACCACTACACCAAACTGGCTCTGATAAAAGCTCTTTAATAGCTCTTGCTCCAGCTCATCATTTCCCCCTTTCCCACAAGCAACTTAAAAGAACATACAGCTATTGAACCATCTTCTTTCCACTGTAAGAATGAACAGGACCTCCTCCTTAAAAACAACTGTAAGGAAGAGGAGATCAGAGTTTACCTTCTTTGCAACCTCTAGGCCGAAATCTTGCTCCACGGAGTCAAGCAGCCGGCTCTTGCAGCTGGAGTACAACATGCGCTCCTTGATGCTACATTTGTAACCAGGCATGGAGTAGATAAACACTGCAAGGAAGAGAAGGAAGGTCAGCTGCCTCTGGGCTCCATGATCTTTAAGTCCACACACCTATGTAAGGGGGGAGTGATTGTCATGCATGCAACAAGAAGGCTATCATACAACAAAGGAAATCCATTCTAGAGAGTGTAGAACATACTCCCCCCAAATCTTGAACAAAAGCCTTGCAGCTAGGCAGTCTTCTCTTCATGTACCAGGTGGTTCCAGAGGTGCAGACTGGCAATGTCCAGAATTGTGTAAGGAAATACGGATCCACAGAAAGTAATTAAAATATGTATTCTTTAATGCAGAAAACCCATCACACCTCACTCTCTACATGCAGAAACTCTTGATACAGTCAGACAACACATCCTCATGCCTCCCTCATAGGGGGTAGAGACAGAAACCCCACAGTTAGTTCAATTCAACGGTAACAGGAAAAGTTCATGGAACAGTCCTCTCTCCTTTTACCCTGCAGCCTTCTGCTGTTCCACAAGCCGCTGCCGAAGGCAAGCAGATCCTCAGGAACAAAGTAGGGTGCAGTTTGTGTGTGTGGGGTTCCACTGGCTCTTGTTCCACTTGCAAGATTGCTTGTGGGGTGTGTGTGTGTGTGTGTGTGTGAAGATTTTCATTGATTAAGCCTCAATCTGCAGCAGTGTTCCCTCTAAGCTGAGTTGGTGTGAGCTAGCTCACAGTTTTTTAGCCTCCAGCTCACAGATTTTTGTCTTAGCTCAGGAAGGAGGGCTCCAGAGCAAACTAATTGATGCAGTAGCCAAATCGCTCGCTCACAACTTTAATGCCAGTCACTCACAAAGTAGAATTTTTGCTCACAAGAGACCACAGCTTAGAGGGAGCATTGGTCTCCAGACCCCTGAATTACATCTCACTGTGCCCCCGAGGGCTTCCCCAACTTTCAAGAGCAGCTTCTTGGAGGCCACAAGGGGTGAGGTCTGTTCCAAGAGCTCATTCTGTTCACAGTTCACTGGATCCAATCTCAAGTTTATAAAGGGCAGAGGAAGGTTCTGGTCTGCTCCCGCTTTGTTTCTTTAAGCCATGAAAGCACAGAAGCCCAAGGTTTGCCCAGTCCTTACCGATCGACTCCAGATAGTCTCCCTCGTGAGAATGCTTATACAGAAAGAAGTGATAGCGGGCAGAATCTTGCGGAATTCTTTTAGGCAGGTCTGCTATCTCAGTGGCATGCGTGTGCACCAAGTCTATGGTTTCCCTTTCCAGGTCCAGTTTCTGTTTAAACAAAGGCAAGGACGCATATTTCAGAACTACATTTAGTTTGAGATAAGCAGGGAGGACAGAAAGACTGCAATCTTGCACAAGCAGGCCTTGCACAGAAAACGCACAGGGTGGTATGTAAAGAAGACCCAAGTGAAAAGCATCAGGGAGCTGATCCTTACCAGCTGGATATAATTGATTTTCTTCTGTTTTAGTAGCTGTATGGCCTGTTGTGCTTCCGGCTGCAAGGGAAAAGCCAGCCCCTGGAGGGTCTGGTGCTTGCTCTCTACGCTGATTTCCGTCTTGACCTGGCAACAACAAGGACAACGAAAGGCAAAAATGGACAGAGATGAAACTAAAGAAACAGGGGAGGCTAGAAAATGAGAGGGACAGGAATAACAGCAAAGCGCAAACCCATGCTGCTGGTACTCAGGTACTGGAGGCACTTGCAAGCTTTTGCACGCCTTGAAGGAAAGAGCATGTTGCCAAGGGCTGCTGTTGCACATGGGCAAAGACTTTGAACAGATTGCACCTTAGGGAGGGAACTACAAATTACGTACAGCTGAGCACTTCTTAACTGAAAAGCAGCCTTGAGGCCTGCAAAGAGCTGAAAGGTGAGACTGACTACTTTTCCTTCCTGTCATTTGTCCCCTCAAAATCCTCCTCCATTCTGGGCTCCCCCACCTACAGTGGGCACAATAATCAGATAAAACAGCCATTCCAACTGAGGTGAACTTCCTTTGTGTCCAGAATACTGACGCGAGAGAGTTGTAACCTCCCTGCAGGTGGCATATGAAAGAAAAGTACACCACACAAGTCATCCATTAAGAGGCACCGTGCTATGATAAACAGATCTCAAGAGCTGCCCTATAGTAGCGGCACTCCAAAATGCTATTCCTAAAGGAGATTCATTTTCATCCCTGCTGTCCAAGTAATTGCCTAGCATGGAGTCTTGCAACATGCCATTTCCCAGGGACAATGAAGTCACGAAAGAAGCCGCGTGTTCTAGCATGCCTACTTGGGGGGGGGGGGGGGACAACCCCTGTTGGAATGTGCACAGCTCTAGATAACCTGAGGACCAAGACAAATGTGGGCAAACTGGTCACCAGATACCCCTTTAAAGCAAACAACTCCACTTAGTTCCTTCTACATTTCAGGGTCAGTTCCCACTGGTTTCTTACAGTTAATGAAGCCATCTAACGGTGGGTTTCAGGACTGCGACTACAGCAACTCCCAGCCTAATTTTGTCTTTCTTCATTTGGACAATAATTAGTTTATAGTTGTTGGTTTTCACAACCAAAGCTAAAAATAGTTGGGGGGGGGGGGAATTATAAATTTCCAGATGTTTAAAAGTCAGTTATAAGAATAAACTATCTAAAAGACTGTTTAGCATTCATAAACAAACAGCAAAATGAATGCAGGATAATTATCCCTTAATGTTTACAACTAATTTGGCTTTACTCCTCCTCTATTGTCTCACTCTCTTTTTTGTTTTCATCATTATTAGATTGCAGACTGTTGGACACAACCCCACTTTGATCATTTCTGTGCAGCACCTGGTTGTGGCACACACTAAAATAAACGTAGCTATTAATGTTATGATTCGATTAAAACATTAAAATATTTTAAACAAGACCAAGAATCTATTCTGTTGTCTCTTCAGGAACTTGTTGAATCTTTCTTAAAAAGCCAAATGGGCTATGGAGTCCAATGGATCTCAGTTTGTAATAAGCACGTTTCAGATGACGCCCCCCCCCCCACATCCCCCCGGACAGGGTCAATGGCAATGCCAGTTCTGCTTTCCTCCCAATAGCTTCCCCACCTTGAAAAGGGCCTTGCTTGGGACAGCAGCTTCCTCCAAATGTAATGGAGGGGATGGGGTGGTGGTGTCTGCCCCCATGCTGGAACAAAGAGGCAGGCTGTTTTCTGGCACTAGTTAGAGCCAAGTGCCTGATTTTCTAGCCTGAGGCAGTTTTGCAACCAAGGACTGGGCAGTATTTTTCCTACTACAATGCAAAGGAAAGAGTCTCTGGGCAGGATTGGCTTTATCAAATCTCATTCACAGGCAACGGTAAAAGCTAAATCCTCAAGGGCTGATGGGAAAGTGTCAGTTTTGTTTTCATGAGGTATGCTGTAGACACCAGCGACAGATGAAAACAATAACTGGAAAATCTATTTTTGATCTTTATCCAAAAAGTCCGAATGTTTTTAACCAGACAAGTTTATTTGGGGGCGAATAAATAGATGGTTTCCTGCTATGCTCTGAAACATGTTACAGTAAGAATGTTGCATCTTAAAACAGAATGAAAACAGATGAAAACACATTTTTCTTTCTAAAACAACTCAGTAGAAAAATAGCCTCATAAGACGTCACACAGCATCACTGTGTGGTGGGGCGGGGGGAATCATGAATGATGAGCTTCATGCGTTACAGAGGAGTGAGAAATAGGTCACACGCTTCATTGAACAACCATCAATATCTCACTTTCATTCTTGATAATGGAACCGGTGCTGGGGTTTATTTTTTGCCAAGTAGCACAATTATCACTTTCCATTGTATGGGGAAATTTACATTTTTATTTCTTGTTTAAGATCACAAAGTAATTTCAGTTTCGCGGTGGTTTATGCGTTCAAACCCTGAAGCGGTCTTGATTAGCTATTAAAAGAAAAGAGCCGTGTTTCTATGTGGCTAGTCAAAAATCTCAGTTCCACCCAAATATACCTTGGGACTTATCAAAAGCAGAAGGCAAAAGGATCTAGTATAGGGAGGAACATGTATTAGGCACTATTAGAAAAACCAAGAAATGGAAGACCCAGGGGGGAAAAAAATTCAATTTTTAAAATTTGCCCAGCAATGTTGAAGCCTTACTACAGCTGTTCCGAGTAAGGGAGATGCACTGCAATAGGTATCACAGTGGCCTTTGAACATCTCATCACAGGCACAAGGCTGGGCAAGTCTGAGCCTACTTTGCAGCCCTGAAGAGCAATACAAAAGTACTCGGTATCCTGTGTACCTCCCCCCCCCCTTGCTTGGAATTCCTGGGCCAGCCACACAGTGACTTTCACCTGTGCCGTAGCTGAAGAAGGGGTGTGACTTATGAGGAGCTGGGAACATGATCTTATTTATCATGCTAAGCAAGAACAGTTCTTGGAAACTAAAAACAAACAAAACCTGGTATGGTTCCTGATGAACACTCCCCAGTGCTGAGAATGGTCAAGTGGAGCACAGAAGGCAAAAGCAGCAAGAGAAACTAGTCCTCACTAGTTGCTTGCACCTTCCGAGCCCCAGCTCATTCTCCTCAGCACTTAACTAGTCTTCTAGAAACCAAGCATTCCAGAGCCTCTCAGGTCACCCCAATCCCTTGAAGACGCTCTGGAGGCCAAAACTTTGTCTCGAGGAGTCTCATTTATCTTGTTCTTATTGCCTTATTTTCTACTGGAACACATGAAGCCGCCTTATACTGAATCAGACCCTTGACCCATCAAAATGAGTACTGTCTACTCAGACTGGCAGCAGCTCTCCAAGGTCTCAGGGAGGGGTCTTTTACATCAGCTGCTGCCAGATCCTTAACTGAAGAGGCTGAGGACTAAACCTGGCATGCCAAGCAGATACTCTACCACTGAACCACAGCCCCTCCCTGGCTTCTGACATTCTATTTCTTTCTTTTTCTTTTTTTGCATTTCTCATGACATAGCATGCCTGATACTTTTTCCCCACTGTTTCTACATTTTTGTGATCCTAGCCCTACTGCATTGCTTGTTGGATGTCTCATGCTGTTTGACTGCATCGTTTTATGCTGCGCAATCCTGCCTTGAGTCTCAGCGAGAAAGTTGGCCTATAAATAAATGAAATAAAAGTTCTTCATACTAGGGTTAGGGGGATTAAATAGCAGTCACACATCAACTGAACAAAAACTGTTTTGTCCGTTCTCGTGTGCTCATATTACATGATAATTAAATAACTTGGACTACACGAAGTTCCTCTGGACACGTCCAGATGACCTGCACTTGGATACTCCCACCCATTTTGAGGTTGGCCTCAGACTAGAGGGAAGAGGCTTGCTCCGTCCTGCAGCCTTCTCTTCCTTTCCGTACTCTGATATCTGTTTCAGGGATGTCAGCCTGGCCTAGCCCCTGCTGGATCCTGAGGCAAGGGCCACTTAGTGTTTCCTTGTTTTGGTATTTGGTTTGCCACCTTCTTGTTTTTGCTGCTGATTGGCTGTTTTCATGGGTTCCACTCTTCACATATACTCTTTTCACATGTGAGTCTTGTCTCAGGAGTCTTCAAGACAATGTATTCATCAAATTAACAAACTGATGGCTTTTCCTGTTCGGTAAAATCCCCACAAATTAATCATGTATCTTCTTGTTCTTGCAAACAGCTTCATAACCGTCAGGGACTTCAGAAAGAAAAAAAAAGAAAGGTGCTACATGCTTGCTTAAAAAGAAGAAGTGATATTGCTTTTCACTTTTTCTTTTTAGATCCTCTCCACACTAACCATTTACAAATGAATCCTTACTATACAACTGCATTTCCCAAATGACCCTCCAAAATTCACTATCACAAGAAAGGAATCAGAAATCTGGGTTTCCCAGTTCTGCTTTCTATGGAGTACTGCCATGCTCTTAAAATTAATTTCCCCCCCTTAATATGTTTGTGGAGATGCTTTAAACATTTGAATGTCTGTAACAGAAATATCATTATATTCATCAAATGAACAGCCTGTTGTATGTGTATCTGAGTTTGATAACTGTCTGGGAAATTCAAATGTTAAGCAGGTAAAGTCACTTTCAAAGGGCTATTTTGCATTTGCCACACTAGCATCTAAACATTTTATACAAGGAAGGTTCCACAGAGCAAACCCTCAAAATGGAGGGAAACAGCCAGACTGCAATGTGGTTTTCTAGTGACCTTCTTGATTAAGCAGGCGTCAAGTCCACTCACCACCAAATTCACTTCAAAAAGGAAAGCAGGAAATTGGATTCTTTCTATTGGAATTCATGCCACCCATGGGATCACGTATCCTTCACAGTTCTCTCATGGCAGTTTAGAAAATATCATTCCTATTTACAATTAATATAAAAACAAGTCACACACTGATTTGTTGGAAATTTGTTTCTTTGTCTCTCTGAGAGAATATGAAAAAGGATGAGACCAAATTGGGAATGAAGAGAAAGAATCCTTCATAAGGAACTGAAAATATAATACGGGCAACACAGCCTACCTCCTCAAGGTGAGGGTATTCAACCGTTGATGGGCAGCAGCAACAGCCCACTACCATCTGTCACACAGAATACAGGGAAACAG